AGTAAAGACATTTTTTCCTCGTGTCCAATCTAAACCTCCCCTGGCGCAACTTGGCTTATGAAGTAGTAAGAGAGCTCCCCTCTGCAAACCTGCTTTCCAGTAGGCAGTTTAGCAGAAATACCTATTTTCCCCTCACCGGAGCGAACGATCCAAGGGAAACCCCGAAGTTAGATGTTTACTGTGCCACGCAGTCTGCGAAGTCTGTCGCTCTCCGCCCTTCCCACGATGCTTCTCCTGGGAGGGAGGAGAGGAGGGGGCAGGACGGTCCAAAGGTTAGACGCAGGCTGTGACAGAGCTGGCGACAAAGTGACTTTAAAAGGTCCAGGGCCTTCTCACGGAAGCTCTGCCCGTCCTCCCTCCCCGTCTTCACGCGGATCTCTCAAGGTCAGCCTGGGTTTACGTTTCCAGTGGGACGCTGTTGAGCTAAGCTGCAAGCCAGAGGTCCCGCAGGCCTCGCGTGGTCGCTGGTTGTTACAGGGATCAGCCTGGCAGGGAGGGCCTTTTCCTTTTCGCTTCAGTTTAACGCCCTTCTGGGGCGCGGCTTTTCCGGTGAAGTAAGGGCTTCTGTCAGGGGGTGTGTTTGACTGGACTCAGTAGATGAATTTAATACAACTTTGAGGTGGGAAGCAAATGCCTTCTCCAGTGGCAGGGCCGCTTTGGGTGGGGGACACCTTACTGCTGTCAGTGGCGGAGGACTTTGTTGTGCCATCTGTGCTAAAGCCTTTGTTAACGTGAGTGGAAATGCATGGTCATCACTGTGAAACTCCTTCCCCCCCTCCGTTTCCCCAACCTCCCCCCAACAGGCGACGCCTGCAGCTGAACTCCAACCAGGCGTTCTTCCTCCTGGTGAACGGACACAGCATGGTGAGCGTTTCCACACCCATATCCGAGGTGTACGAGAGCGAGAAGGACGAGGATGGGTTCCTGTACATGGTGTACGCCTCTCAGGAGACTTTCGGAGTGCAATCTTCTGTCTAAGACACGCGAGCGGCTTCTAGCCTAGGATTTTGGTTGACCCTTGGCCATCACCCCCACTCTTCCCCACACACACCCCAGGGAAAGAAACGGATGTCACCTACGCTCTCAGTACCTTAGCATAGTCTTGCTTTAGCAGGTGTCTCATCTTACCTTGCCTTGTTTGTGACTATTAAGCAGTACAGACGAGCACCTCCAGCTTTGAAACCTGCTGTAATATTCCACACAGGCACATTTACATTTCTGGACTTTATGAATGGAACCCAATTGTGCATGTGACGATTGTAAATAAAGGGACACTCGATTGACTTTTAACAAGCAAACAGGCACCGGGGAGGAGCTAAAGTGTTTCGTGTGACAGTTTTCTGGAAAATCTCCCTATGATTCCTTAAAGCTTTTTTTTTCTTTTTTTAAATGGGAAGGCTTCTCGTGAGAGCAAATATGTTTTGATGTTCCAAAGCGGAGCTTTGTCCTCTGCAGCTCGATGAGACTCGTGTCAGTGCTGCAGCAGGTTAAGGCAAGTGCTTGGGGTGAGCTGGGGGAGTACAACTCTTTTTGTCTCCGTTTTGTGTGGCACCGCGAACTTCGGAACGGTGCCAGTTTCTGAAATACTCATACCAAACACCACAGCTTTATTGTAGTTTTAGGAAGTGTTTAACTGTAAAATACACACCTGGACAGGTAACACTGAAATAAACTCCAGTCTGTTACAAATTTCCAATGCCTGTGTGTTCAGTGAAGCACTGTTGTTCATACGGGCTCGCTTCCAAAAGATCGTTCCCCCCCCCCCGACCCCAGCCCGGAGGTTTGCCGTTCCCTTGCCCGGCAGGCAGTCTGCTGGGAGAAGGTAGTCGAGGGACCTGCCGCC